GAAAGGGAGAAAAAGGGGGAGGGGGAAAATCAGAAGGGGAATAAAGGGCCAGAGTCCGCCCCCCGCTGCGGTCTGCGCGCAACGTCAGCACGTCCGGCGTAATCGTCACTGCGTCCTGCGCCCCGCGCGTTCCTGCTTCCTGTGTGCCTCTCTCCACGCCTGCAGACGCCCCCTACCTGCTCACCTACCTACCCGACCCGCACACGCGCTCTCCTCCCCGACGCACATGCACACCTACACGCAAGTACACTCGCTCGCTCACTGTGTCGCGCCCTCCGCGTTACCTGTGTCTCAGGCCACCAATGCACATCCACTGCGATCCACAGTCCATCTTAAACCCATCAAGCCTGTCAGATTTAACAATTTTAGATTTAAACAATACTAATAACCGTAATTTAAATTTACAGAGCACTTTCAAAACAGACCTTCGCTTAGGACAGTAACTCCTGCGCCCAAAGGAGCATTTTTGCAATAAATACTTGTAGTATAAATAGATAAAAATCACGTGGTAGGTAACGGTCCATTTTTTCCAGATTTAAAAATTTAACTCTAAATAAAGCAGGTTTAAGTCCATCCTATTAAAATCGCTTCTTACCACCACCCCCTCTATGATATAGTTCTTTTTCTTGAGTCATCTTAAATTTGCAACCTCCCCCATTCTGTCCATTCTTAGAGAATCAATTTAGTTATTGGTTGCGTGGATTTGGATCGTTGACTAACTCCCTCAAAGAAGCGTTGTCCTACATTAATAGAATTCGACCATTAGATATTTACCATGCGACAAGCACTGCAGTGGCAAATAAATAAATAAATAAATAAAAATAATCAAATAATTATAGTACAATGTAAGTGCTATAATGGAGAGGTGTTCAATGTGCTATGGAAACACAAGAAGGACCAATTAGTGCTTAGAAGTAAGAGATTGAGTAAGCTACAGAGAAGCTACAAGTGAAATTTCAGCTAACCTTGAAGAACATAAGTATGAGTTCATCGGAGAGGCAAGAATGGAGATAATTGCAGTCATAGGGGTATAAAATTCTTCTTTTCTTCAAAGATTAGCAAGTTCCAGGTTTTCAAGTTGGAGGCAGGGGTTGGTAATGGCCAAGAGGAAATAATAGCTAATATCTGTATTATGTATGTATGTGTAATGTAGAATATATAGCATTCTACATCTAAAAATTAAATCCCAAAACAATAGGTACTGTTGTTATACCCAGTTTATAGAGAAGGAAACCAGATTTTTAAATGAGACAGTTTATCTTCAGAGCCTGCTCTTAATCACTACATTATTTAGAAATATTACTGGAAAGGGCAGGTTACGAAAGACCTCTGTGTATTATGATACAGAGTGAAACAGTTGGATCTTTCTGCGATAAATGCAGTGGCTGAAGAACAGCTAAGGCAAAAACATGAAACACCCACCCCTAAAAGAAGCTCCCCTATGCTTCTCCCCCTTTTGCTTACCTCTCATTCCCCAACTAATTACCAGAAAGGAGAGCAGCTAAAGTCATCCCAGGATTTGAGGGGACCTAGGAACTGCATACTGAGTCAAGACAGGGAACAAATAGCAATATAACCACCTCCCCAAATTCAAGATCAGGTTATTATCCAAGGGTGAAATTAGGAACATTAAAATGAACATTAAAATGTTAGAAATAAGGTCACTCACTGTAGGCTTGGGTGAGGAGGGTAGGGTTAATGTTAATGAATACAGGGTTTCTTTTTGGGGTAATGCAAATGTTCTTAAATTAGTGGTAATGGTTACACAATTCTATGAAAATCACTGAATTGTACGCACTAAAGGGTGAATTTTATATTACGTGAATTATATCTCAACAAAACTGTTATTTTTAAATAAATAAATTTATCCTAGAGACTAAATAATAAATCTACCTCTATAATAGCCCTTAAAAAAAAAGAAGAAGAAAAGAGAGAAAAAGATCCGCCTCTGTAGAAGAGAGCTGAAAAAATGTGACACACAAAAATCTAATTAAGGTGACTTGAGTATAACTTCTGAGAAGCAGCCTGGATTGTAACATTATTCATTCAGTAAATATATTTTAAGCCCTTATATTATAGATCAGGCACTGTGTGCAATGCTAGGAATATCATGGCAAGCAGCAGAGATGACTTACTAAGTGACTGGTGTATAGATGGTAATTGGGGACATGAGTCTGGGAAAGGAGAGTCCGGAAGGGCAGATATTGGCAGAATTTCATCTGCACATCAGGATGTAAGGGTACAAACAAACAAACAAACCTATGTAGCAGGAACAATAAGCTTTCATTAAGCACTTACCACTGTAAGTGCTTTAAAAAATTATTTGAATCTCAAAACTTTTGAGATAATCATTATAGATCGATAATCCTGTATTCAAAATCCATTAATTCACACTTGTTTCAAAATTCAGAAAATTTCAAGTTTTAGAAAGGTAGAATGGTACATATAGTATAAATTATATAACACCCCTAGGGGTAGCATCCCATAATCAAATAATATTTCTGGAGTAAAAAATGTATAAATAGTCTCAGTATGATTTTTTTAAAAGACCATAAATAATCTAACTGTTCAGGTCAGGTTTAGCCACAATATGAGTTACCAAAAAATATATATGGATTATTCTTTTTGACTCTGGAATCGTGTATAATAATTTTTACCATTTCTCCGATGAAGAAACTATTGCAAGAGAGGTCAAGTAACTTGCCAAGAGTCACACAGCCAATAGAAAGAGAGAATTTTAATCAAGGTCATCTGGCTTAAAAACCTATGCTCCAAACTCCGCTTGCCATTCCTGACACATAAATCCCCCTGGTGGAAACAAATCCTTTCTCTGGAGATCTACTATTCAGGACCTTTGGGGGAGAGCCAAGAATTCTGAGAAATCTCAAAATTTCTTTTCCTAAACCCAAGAAACCCCAAAGTAAATCTAGCTCTCAAGCCCCTCCCCCACCTTCAGACTTCCCTCTGGGGACACAAAAGACCTGGCTAGAACACTTCTCCCTCCTCTCCCTAACCCTTCAGACTGGATGGTTTTGAGCCCTGCAAGGCAAAACCCAACAGGGGCTAACAAAGAAGTCTGGATTGTGAGCCTCAGAGATGGAGGGAGTGGGGTGGACTTTGAGAAGTACCAGGCAAAGGAAAATGCAACTCTCTATTACCCACATAACAGTGACCTAAAGTGCCTGCCAATGACCCCCTTTTATTTGAGAGCCACCCTTTAACACTATCTTAAAACCTCTGATCTCTCTGTTTCCCCACCAAGCTTCCCAGCAAGGCCGTTGATCTGAAGAGGAATTTCATCTCTAACCTTTGCTCCAGGCCTGGCAGGCAGCTCATATGAGTAACCCACTGTCTCCCAACTTTGGCCCAGGGACACTTCTTTCCCCAAACAAACCAACCTCCCCTCACATCCCCCACTCTGTACTTTCACTGACTATGTGTTGGCGACTTCTGCCAAGTTCTACCTGTAACTGGCTTAATCTCTCAAGTCAGATGTTTGGCTGCTCTGCAACAAGGAGTCATGCCAGCTGGACACACTCTCCTTCCCAGGCCCCTGACAGCTAGGAGGGAACCCAGACCACAGCTTTTAAGACCCTGAGCCCCAGGTTTGTGGCTCTGTCTCGACTGTGTCACTCAAGGAGGGCATCCCTCAGCAATGATCTCCTCATTGCTCCTGGCTTTCTTATTCCTGGCTCTGGCCACAGTGGCCACTCCCAGAGCTGACAGTCAGTGTCTGGCATGTGGGGAGCCCGCCTTGGACCTGGAGAGCCAGCGGAAGCTGCTTCTCGACCTGGCCAAGAGAAGCATCTTGGACAAGCTGCACCTCAAACAGCGCCCAACACTGAGCAGGCCTGTGTCCAGAGCTGCTCTGAAGACAGCACTGCAGCGCCTCCACGGGCCCCTACAGGGGGCGCATCTGGAAGCTGACAATGGACAGGAATATGAGATCATCAGCTTTGCTGAGACAGGTGGGTTCCTAGTCTGTAGATCTTCCCCAAAAATCTGACCTCTAAAGGAAAAGAAAAGTGTCTTCCCCAACCTACCCCTGGCTTTCTCCCCCAAACCACCCCAATTATTGGCTCTCAACCTGTAATCTCCTAATCCAGGGCTCCCACCCCCTATCTTGTTGTTTAGACTTGAACAATGGGCAGTTGGGAAGTGGGTAAGTTTCACTTCTTTTGAGACTACCTGCCCCCCTGTCTTCTAATTCATCTCTCTGCACACCCCACGAGCTTCCCTAGGCTGTGTGTGGTGAGAGCCCATCCACTTCCTGGGCCTGGACACAGGGGCTAGAAGCTGGGGAGTCTGTCTTTCTCTGGCCCAGAATCCAGGCTCTCCATCCCCCTAACCCCCCAGATGCCTCATGTGGGTAAAAGGGGAAAAAGAAATACACCAATACTATAAATAATACCTTTCCACCCTACTCCTGCCCTCTCACCTTGAAACTCTGAGTACCACATCAGAAGAGGGTCAACATGGGACATAAAAAGGTGGATAGAGGTTAGAAGAGAAGAGAGAGTTACTTCCATAGACGGAAGAGAAGTTAGAGAATTTCGTGGGCAGCTGGAGAAAAAGATCAAGAATTCAGAGATGCCTGACCACTGCAGTGTACACCTGAAGCTGAAGCTGAATAATACTGAATGTCAACTATAATTTAACATATATATAGTCACAGGATGTGGAGCACAGCATAGGGAATAGAGTCCATGGAATTGTAACAGCCATATACAATGTCAGAGGGGTAGTAGACTGAGGGAGGGGGGTTATTACTTTGTGAGGGGTGTAAATGTCTGTACACCTGAAGCTAAAAAAAAAAAAGAACTCAGAGAAAGGACCCTAGAAACAGAACACAAAGTGATTATCTGGCCTCTGAGCTTCCCGCAAGCTCTTTCTTAGGCCTGGAAAGCCCATCCCATTCCTGGCCCCTTTCCCCTGGTCAGCACCTACTCACCTCTCCCTTGAAGACCCAGCACTCCCATCCTCAAACACCTACCCTGACATGAGGGTGAGGTGCTCCCTTCTTGGTGGCCCCCACACCTAAAACTCTATGTGGAATTGCCTGTTTCCAGGTTTTCTATGAAGCCTGCCTTCCCATAGGATATCAACCCCTTGAGGTCAGGAACTGTATTTATTCCTCATGTTATCACCAGAGGCTAGTATATAGTAGAAATAACTTACAGTTATACCAAATTATACTGTAGGTCACCTTGACCACAGTCTAGAGTCCCCAGTGATGGATGAGACCCCATCCTGGCTCAAAAGGGAGTTTCTGCTCATGATTAACAATACAAACTCAGGAGCCAGATAGCCTGGATTCAAGTCCTTGCTGAGATGCTAATTACTGTGAGATGTTGGGTTGTTAATAGTTTTCTCATGTGTAAAATGGCGATAATGAGTGGAGAGTTGAGAGAATTAAATGAACTAATACAAGTAATGTATTTAGAAGGTGACGGTAGGAGGGAAAAGGAAATAGAAGACTCAGCTCCTGCCCATAAGGAAGGGATTTAGTCACTGCAGCTGGAAATAAATTAATTAAAATATAAGGCAGAATGAAATAAATGCTAGGTGAGGGCACAAGAGCTCACCAGGCCAGGAGCAACTCATATTGGGACCTGGTGAGACAGGGAGGTCTTTCAGAAGTAGATTATAAATGGGTTGGTATTGTAGATTAAGTTTGACTTCAATGGATAGAGAATGGTAAATAACATCCTAAATGGAGGGAAAAACACATGGGTAAAAGTCTGAAGGAGTGGACTGCATTTGGAGTTGAAAAGTGGTTTGGAGTGAATGAGCATGAGGTAGACAGATGGCCATGAACCATGAGCAACTTGAGCACTGAAACCCTGGCTGGGTTTTTTTGTTTGTTTGGTTTTGTTTTTTTTTTTTCACCTTTGTATCCCTGACACTTAGCCCAGTTCCTGGCACGTTGTGACACTAATGATGGTTACCAGATATTCAGTGTACCTGCCTCATCTCATTTAACCCTCACAACCAACCCATAAAGTAGACTTTAGTAGTCCCGTCTTATGAATGCAGAAACTGAGACTCAACAAAGGTAATTTACATGGCCAAGGTCATATGGCTTTCAAGGGGCAGAATTCAAACACAGTTCTCTCTGACTTCAAAGTTTGTATACTTTCCACATATTTGCTAATCGATGAATGAATACAGCCTTCAGGCAGGAGGGGGCCTGATCTGAGATGAAGTCTGGAGGTGAGAATGACGGATACCTGGATTCCACCTTTTACCTTTAAATATTTTAGCTTGAAGTTTTCATTCCAATTTAAGTTATCATCTATACCATAGTATGGAAGTATGATCTGAAAATTGTTCTTTCTGGAGGTCCGAAGAGAGACAGCTTGGGCCTCTGGGAAAACTAGGGTTTGGGCCTTCACTGGCGTCCTGGAAGTGGCTCATGCTGGCTCATGAGAGCTGATCGTGAACATCTCCCAGCTCTGCATCTAGTGACGTCACATTGATAGTTTGAAATTGGCCATGGTGGAAAAATTTATACCACAGAAATTGGCAAACACTACAAATCAGGGCTTTTTATTTTCCTCTGGAATCTAGTTGTTAAACATTTACCAGCATACCACTGCCTGTGACCTAAAAATACAAGTTATCTGCCTCCCACACACCTAACATACAATGCTGACATGGGGACAAGATAACCGTAACAGATACTCTTGTTCTAAATTGGAGATGGGGAAGTGGGAGACAGAGCAGTCACTGATCCATGAAAATTCTAATATCCAGCCAGGCACATATCTCAGTCTACCCCAAATCCAGAACTCCCTTGGTTAGGTCCTGATTCTGCTCCCCAGTAGGATTTTCACCTCTTCTCAAGGAGAGCCCACCACTGCTCCCTTAGCTTCTAGAGCCGTGCTCTCAGCCCTTGCTCTACCCTCATCTGAGATATCTTTCCTTTTAAGTAGGAAATGACTTATGTTTGTGGCTGAGTAGTTTTCTCAGCCTTCTTCCTGCCCAAAGAAGTTAGAGGTCTCTTTCTATTTTGAATTGTCTCTGTCCCCTTTAGTCCAAACTGGTACTGTTTTCACTACTAAAATTCTTTTAAAACTCTATGGGCTTTCTAAATAATAAATTGTAGTCTACTCAGTTAGACAAAAGGCACTCTACTCTATCAAGACAGACTCCTCTTGGGCCGGCCGAGTGGCACATTGGTTAAGA